AACTTAATTAAATAAAACAGAATTAAAAATTTTATTTTGAAAAAATAATTTATTAATATTTATCTAATATATCAAAATTTTCACAATAAATTATATTTATAATATAATTAAGAAAAATATTATTTTGATTTTATATTTTTTGAATTAATATTTTTATTAATAATAATAATTAAATTAAAATATTTTAAATAAATAAAAAAATAATATTAATAAAAATAAATTAAATTTTGAAAATAAAAATTTAAATAATTTTAAATTATTAAATAATATTAAATAATTAAAAAATATAAAATAATAATAATAATAATAATTAAAATTAAAAAATATTTATAATTTAATATAATATAATTTTATAAGTTTATAAAATTATAATAATTATATTATTATATAATAATTCTTATATCATAAATTAAAAGATTAATTTTATTTATGAAAATTAAAATTTTTTCTTTATATTAAATTTTTATTTTTATATTAAAATAAATTTAAAATTATAATTTAATATATTTTTTTCAGATTTTTTTAAAAGAATTATTCTAATTATTATAACAAATTAAAATGAAATCAGATTAAAATGAAATTAAAATCTTTTTGAATTCTCTTTTAATATTTCTAAAATCTATATATATTCTTTTATTAACAAAAGTTACCCTAAATCCTAATCTAAATTCAAAAAAAATCTAGAAAATTATCTCAAAAAAATATGAAATTTTCATATTAAAATAAAGAAAATTTTATTTTAATTCAATTTTATTTTAATCTGTCATAATTATTAAATAATAAAAAAAATTTTCTAATTAAACTTTAATTTTAATAAAAATTTATTTTATAATAACTTTTTATTTTAAATAATTCTTCTAAAAATTCTAAAAAATCTAAAAATATATGTTTAAATTCTTTATATTTATTGTACTTGAAAAAATAAAATTAAATAATTAAAAAAAATAAATTTTTTTTAATTATAGTTAATTAATAATTCAAAAATTCAAAAAAAATAATCATAAAAAGATATAATTATAATATTTAATTATATATAAAATTATAATTTATAAATTTTATTTTGATATAAAATTAAAATTATTTCTTAATAAAATTATAAAGTTTAAAATAAAGAGAATATTTTAATTTTTATTATATTTTATTAATAAAATTAATTTTTTAATTTTATAATTATAAGAATTACTTATAACTAGTAAAATAAATAATATATTATTATCAAATTTAAAATAATAAATATTTAAAAAATATATATTTAATTAAATTATAATTTTATTTTAAAAATTTTAAAAGTTTTTTTAAAACTTAAAAAATTAAAAATTTTCTTTTTATTTTTTATAAAATAATATTTAAAAAAATTAGATAATAAATTTCTGATGAATTATAAAAATTTGAATTTTTTTAAATTTTTAAATTAATTAAAATTTATATTATTTTAAAATTATATTATTTACTAAATTTTCTAATTAAAAATTTTCTAAATAAACTAATTCTTATAAATAGTTAGATTATTTAATATTTTATATAATTTAATTTTAAATTAGATCAAATCTTAGCTTGATTTAAATTATATAAATTTAATAAATTAATTAAATATATATTTTAAATATAATTATAACAACAATCATAATTAATATAATACTTAAATTTTTAATTAGTAAAATATATATTTTAATTACATATAAAGTTTTTTATTTTTAATATATTTTTTTAGCAATGACTATTCTAATTATATATGAAGTTAATTAATAAAAATTAATTAATAAAAATTAATTAACTTCATATACAATTAGAAATACACATTTTACTAATTACAATTAGTAAAAATTCAAGCATTGCATTAATTATGATAATTTAAAAGTTTAATAAATAGAATATATTTTTAAAAAAAGTAATATATAGAGATTGTGATTATATGAAGATCAAATTTATAATATCTTGACTCAGAAAGGTTTGAATATAAAATATAAAAGATAACTTAAATATTATTGAAATTTTTGCATATAGTATAAATCGACTATCAATATATGAAAGAAATCGGTCAAAATGCTATTTTATTTTTAAGTTATTTCAGCAATAAGTGAATCTTTTCCTTATTAAAATGAACGTCAAAATTGTTTGCATAATTCATTTTATTAACATTAATTACTATCTAACTACTTTTTCTCAAAATTATCATACAAGTTGCCGAAAAGTCAAGCTAATCCTCCCATTAGCAACCTTCTTCTCTCTCGGGACCGAATGTTTCCAATTCGCCTGTGTATTTCCCTTCATTACAACCATCGACCCATCAGCCAACACCAACTTCTTGACCAACCCCCTCTCTGTCTTATTCCTCAACACGAAATTCCGTTCCGCGCCCAAACTAACACACGCAATCACACCCATCTTCTTTAACCCCCGTTCATCATCCGAATGCTCACCGATATAATTATCGCCGTTCTTGTACCAATTCAGCAACACAAAATTGAATTCCGTATCGAGTATTTTTTCGATTATGGATTTGATGTGCAGAATTGGAGGTGGGTAGTCCACTGAGTCACGGGTCACTGTGGTCCCTGAGTAGCGGTATACTTTGTTGGGCTGGGAGCCGAATGAGCAGGTGAGTCGTGGAGCGCGTGTTTGTCGGCCGTGCACTACTAAGTTGGGTTGTTTCCAGTATGGTAGCGAGATTAGCTGTTTGTAATAGGTGATTTTTTCTGAGCGGATTAGTCCTATTTGAGGGTAATATGTTACGTCGCCCTTGGGAAGTTTCAGGTCGACAAAAGGTGTTAAGAAGTTTGGTGGTAATTGGCGTTTTCTTTTGGTGAGATGTGATTGTTGTTCTTCCGGTTCTGACTCTGATCTTTTTTTATTTAATTGAAAGCTGCTACTGTCTTTGTTTGATTCTGTGATTTCTGAAATTGAGCATTGTCTCAACGGCTCCATTGTCTTTTATTGGAAAAAAGTTGTCGCGTATGACTATTTAAGTAAATCATTTGATGATTGTCACAATTAGAGTTAGCACATTTTTTTTGTTTACACTATAACTGTTGCTCCCATTCCTTACATGTGATTTTATAGAAGTGTACACTCTATTTCTCCCTTGATTAAAGAGAGCGGCTTACTATATTTAAAGAAAATTGTGGTTGTTTCCACATATCGCTGCCTTATGAATTATCAAATTTATATTTTCCATAAATTACATAATAAGTAAAATAATAATTATCAATAAGCTAAAATAAAGAGATGGCAACAGCAAATAATCTAATAGTAGGTGCACGCTGTGAAATTCACGGTGACCGCGGCACTATTCGGTTCGTCGGCCATACAGATTTCCAGCCGGGCAAATGGGTAGGCGTGGAGTTGGATAACATGAAAGGAAAGAATGATGGATCGGTGAACGGAAAAAAATATTTTGAATGCAAACCGAATTACGGGGTATTTGTGAGAGCGTCGCAAATTAAGACGATATTGCCTTCGGCGGAGGGGAATGAGAATGGGGGGCCTTCAATGGTAATGGTATAGAATTCTGGTTTTTTGTGAGTGTTAATTTGAAAAAATCATTTACGGATTTTTAATAATAAAATTTAGACACCACAGTCTGACACATCAAATCCATCATCGAACTCCGCAACACCAGAACCACGATTCGCCCCTGCAAACGATCCAACAGTCCTAAAAGCACGCGAACGTTTAAAATCCCCAACATTATTAACAAGTAGCATGTTACCCAGTCTAAAAAATGCGTCAGCTACCGCCGCATTAAGATCAGGCTCATTAAAGACACCTGGTTCACCATCTGCCACACGAACAAGCTTTACTGCATCTGCTTTGCGAACACCAACCACACCTTCATTTACACGCGCCAGAGGCGACTCGGATGTAGATATAAAACGACCCGAATATTTCAATATTAATAATAGTAATAATATCTCACATAATTCCTTAGGCTCGGAACATATTGAAGATGATGCCACAATGACTGATGAGGTTTATTTTGATGAGCCTCTTGATACTAATGGGGAAGCGGATTTGTCGATGGCTTCTGCTGCTGGTGGTAGTGAGTATAATATGCGAGAAACGCCTGTGAGGCAATTGGATTCCCCAGACCCATTTTCTTTATCTATGTCACGTGACCAGGTATTTTTAAAAATTATTTATTTTTATCGTTGTCAATTATTCTATTCAATATCAAAAAATACATACTATAATCCAATTGTTAGACAGTTCCCCTAAAAGACTTCGAGGAGCTCCGTTTAAAGGTGAAAATTTTGGATCGCAAGCTACAAGAAGAACGCGAAAAAGTGCGTGAAGCAGAGTTAATGAAACAAGAAGCAGCGCAGTTCACTAGCATAAAACCAAAATTACAAGGTTTATTTTAATGCTATTCTGTCTTATTCATTTCTTTACCTTATAATTATTATCATGTTAACATGCTTGATATTTAAATACTGTTATTAATTGTAAAAAATGAATATTTAATTTTTGAATTGATGAATCTCAAAAATTAAGCCAAAATGGTCGAGATGCAATCAGAACTCCGCGAACTCCGAAAACAACTTAAAGAAGCTCGGGCTGAAAAAGAACTATACGAAAACAAGTATACCGAAGCAGCCGAATCTATGGAGATGATGACTCTCGATAAAGAAATGGCAGAGGAGAAGGCTGAGAATTTGCAGCACGAGGTTAATTTGTTAAAGGAGAAGATCGAAGAGATTAGCGTTGATTTGAGTGTGTTTAAACAGGAAGGGGGTTAGTTTTTCTAGCTATTTTTTCTTATGATCTCAATGACATCAATCATTATCATTTCATTGATTCTTATTCGTTAATATAAAAAATTAGATTTGATAAATAGTACAGAGATTAATGTTGACGGACGGACAGCTGTTGAGATTATTCAACTTGAACGACAGAATGAACGATTAAAGGATGCACTTGTTAGGTGTTTATTTACCTAATTTCTTAGTGAAAAATCGCTTAGTCTTGCAAGTATCAATTATTTATCTCCTTTGTGTTTCTCTCGTGGTATTACTATGCTGTTAATAACAATATCAGACTACGAGACGTCACAAGTGAAAACGAGTCCGAACAAAACAAAAAAATAAAACAATATGAAAAAGAATTGGCATCATTGCAAGAGATCCAAGGTATTTATTATGCTCTTTCCATGTTTTAGTAAATAATGTATCTCAAATAATAACGATAACTTAAAAAAAATACAGTTCAATATGATCAATTAAGAAATCATCTTAAAACTGCCGAAAGCCAAATTGAAGATCTAAAAGCCCGTTTGGATGACGCTTTGAGTGCCGAAGATATGCTTGAGCAGCTGACTGAGAAGAACTTGGCTATGGGAGAGGTATTTATTATGCTATTTCTATCTCTCTTGGATTTTTCACTAAATTTGAATTCGCAAAAATAAAAATGCAGAGAATAGAAGAAATGCGAATAACGATCGACGACCTTGAAGCACTCAAAGAACTAAATGATGAACTCGAGGAGAGTCATATTGAAAACGAAAAGCAACTGCAATCTGAACTTGGTATTGTATCTTTCTCTTTCGTCTTCAGATTATCAATAAATTACATTGTTGACCATCATGGCTGATTGTGTCCATAACAGATCAGAAGGATATTCTCATCAGGGAATACACGAAACGTATAGAGGCAGCAGAAGAAACGAATGCCGACTATGAGAACACGATCAATCAATTCCGTGAATTGGTTGCTAATTTGCAAAGGTAGGCGTTTGTACCTATTTTCTATCCATCATTTTCTAAATGTAATCTCCAGGCAATACAATCTTACATTTTATCGTGAATAATTAAACTTTGGTCAAAATAACAGCGATCTTGATCAAATACGACAAAAGGAAGAAAGCCAGTCAGAATCAAATAATCTCAGCAGCCAGTCCCAAGCTATGCTTAACCTAAACTTCCAACTCCAATCCACTGTAATGAAACAACAGGCTAAACAGATTGATTTGGAGCTTCGTAAAATGGAGGCTGTACAGGCGTCTGATAAATTGTCTTATGTGCAGGTGTTTACAACTGTCTCATTTTTATAATGATAAAAATAACTTGCCCTATAGCTATATTAATAAATTATATTGATAACAAACAGTCTTATCTACCGGAATCTTTCTTCAAAACCGAGAACGACTCGATTAATTGTCTTCTGCTGCTTAAGCGTCTCGTGTTCAAATCTGAATTGGTTATCAAACAACTCGATCAGATTCATAACATACCCGAGAAATTAAATGCTGTTGTGCCGGAGGAATTGATTGCCGTTTGCGAAGTACTATATTTTGTTTTTACTTGTTTCTTCGTTTTCTTGAGAAATGAATTCTTTATATCGTTGTAATAAAAATTGAATTATTGAATAAAAACTTCACAGTTACGGCAAAAACTTGCATGGTTCTCAGACCTGGGTAAACGACTTATCGTGTTTATTAACGGGTGTCCTGTTGAGACATTCTTGAAAATGGGACAGGTGTATCATGACCTTGTTGGAACAGAGAGACGGTATTTTTTAGTTATATTATGATCATTATTTATATCGAAAAATATAATTGATGTAGTCTATTTATAGATTGGATTCAATTGTTGAAATGTTGCGTAAGGAAGAATTGAAAGAGGCAAACTACATTGAAGTTGTGCAAGGGTTTGTATAGTTTTACCGGAAGAAATTTCGTTGATCATATATAGATAGATGGATACGTATGCAACTGAAACCATCTACCCAATTTTTTTCACAGATTTATTAATCAACTTGATCACCTGAAAGACAAATATCTCACCAATACACAGAGTGACAACTCCGAGAAATTCTATGCGTTTGTACGTGCAGTCGATTTCAATGCTGATACGATTGCTGTTACTTTGGGTCATATTAAACAGGCGGTTGCTCTTGCTTGCAAAGATGACGGTATCTGTCTTTTTTTTCAGCTTTAATTTTGACATTCTATTTTTCATGAACTATATTAATGTTTGTTTATCTGGTTTTGCGAAATCTTAGAAGTCAATGTTTCTGGTATTGAACAGTTTACTACCGAATTCTTCCGTCCTTTGCAAAATCTGGTCACTAAATCAAAGAGTAGCAAGGTCATGGCAAGGTATTATTAATAATATCCTTGATTTTTTTGAATTACAATGGATAAAGGAACATGATTTATTATAAAAATATATAGAAAGTTGCTTCGTCGTTTGGACGACCTGGCACAACCAAAAAAACCTCTCACCTTGAAACCTGAGCTCCTCGCGCAATTTCAGACTTGTTATACTACTAGTGCTAATTTGGTGTCATTCTGTCTTGAGGTATTGTTATATTTACTATTATTACCATCCTTCATCGTCTTAAGGTTATATTTCTGTTTAAACATTGTGAATTCAAAGATCTCGTATCATCTTTGATATTTTATTTAAAAATAATTTATTTAAAATATAGGCATGGAAAGAAATCTCCTCATATTTAAGTCAAAAGAAAGAACTAATGTTCAGCGGTCTCCAACAACTAATTTACAAAGTTACAGAACGCATCCTTAGCATCAACGAGATGAACATGTGGGAAGGGTGTACGCACTCGTTGCAAGGGTTGTGTCAGGAAGTTGACAATTTGAATAATTTGTCAAACGATAGTGAGCGTTCTGTGGAAGGTTCGTATTTTGTGTTTAATTTGCTTTTGTTCTTTGATTTACTATTTGTTCTTTCTTGGTTGATTAATAAATTAATTATTGATAATAAAATTGTTATAATAGTGGTTAGGAGTGAATCACCATGGGTAATAAGAGCCAAAAATATCAAGGCTGAAGTTCTTGTTAATTTGGAGATGGAACGTAAAGTTCAACAGTCAGCCGAAGAGATTCGTGAATTAATTAAGGAAGTTAAATTAAAGGTATTTTTATCATCCTTCCTTTTTCCTTCCCCGATCATCTCTTAGCACATTTTAATAATCAAAAACAAAACACTGTGGAATCGGAATCGTCATTAAATAGGATCAAGCTCTGCAAGAAGCGCAAGTGAAAATCGATTTACAAGAGAAACGTTTGGAGAGTATGAAAAATCAGGTAAATTTTTACATCTGTGTGTATGGTATTTTCATTTTCTGGAGTAATAGCGGGCTTTTTTAATTTTTTATAAATAATTAATAATAACAATTCAAGTCTGACCAAATCGCCTCACTCGAACAAAAATTACTCAACTCGCAAAAACAACAAACTCAATACGAAGAGGCGATGAATAGCCTCCACACAGAATTTGAAAAATTAGAAAAAGAAAATCATCAGTTCAAAGTATTGCAAGTGACTTTGGAAGACCATGGTAAACTTTTTGACTTCTCCCCCTCTTCCATTGAGCGCAGACATTTACGAATAAGCACTAATCTACCAATTTTGATTTATAACTTCAAAAATTAAAGTTACAACACCAACCACATCAAAACGCAATACAATGACCAGTTTTCCTGATGAGGAAGATTTCAGTAGTCAGATTATTGAAACTAATTCTGTTGAGATTCAAAGACTGAATAGTCAGGTAATTTTGTCTCTATTAACCTCCACAAAGATGGGTGTTTTTTGCATCATTTATTATATTCATCTCGCTATTGTCGTTAATTTACAATTAAAATCATTAGATTGAATCGCTTAAATTTGCCGTACGGTTCTTACGGGCAGAAAACTCTCAGCTCAGAGGCCGTGTCGCAATCGACATATTAAACTTACACTTACCACCAAAGAAAAGATCGATAAATGACAACGAAGTGGTGAAGTCTGTTGCACAGGAAGCCAAGTCGTTGCTTAAGGTATTTTTCCTTCCTGCTTTTCTGAAAATTAAATAAATCATTTATACTAACAAATTTTTTGATAAATATTATGTAGGAATTCCGCGCAGCAAGAGCCACCCTAAAAATCGTCGACCTAAACAAAGCAACAACAAACCATCGAGGCTGGCAACCAAAAGGCAAACTGCCCAATTCACAGTACTTGAAACAACAATCGGCACTTGAGATGTACAAGTTGCAACAACGAAGTAATGAGTTGAAAGCTAAACTCGCACAAATTGGCAAAACTGATAAACTGAAACTTGTCAAGGTTTGCTTTTTTTGTCATTTGCTATATTCCATTTCTCGAACCCTTAATTAATTTTAATTTAATTAGCACGGTGGATCGGGAACACAACCTCCATTCATCGGTCGCATACAAGTCCCGTTACCAGAAAGCACCACCACACACCATCATTCTGAGAACAAGTCTTCGCTGACGAAAACGCCGCTACGGCATATTATTAAACTGAAAAATGCGGCGGACTTTGAAAAGATCCATACGATTTTTGTGAACTGAATTGGACTGATTTGAATGGAGGAATCAATCATCATCGCTATTGCAAAAAATATTTTATTTTGTAAACTTACCATCGTATCCAAATTACCCAAAATCAATTCTAATTACCCAGCTCAAAGCATGCGAACGATATTTAAATCTATTTTATAATTTAAATTGAGAAATTAATTTATTTTATTACTATTATTATATATACTAATTTAGACGTTAATACTTTGAATATTACTATCAAATAGAAAAACGTTCAGTGCACTTTCAAGTTATTATTTTATCACGTTATTTATGGAGCGATCAATACATGTATACCATCACACTCCTCTACTAAATGCATAACACTTAAATGCATATTTTTCATATTCCTCAACTATAATGAACTTGTAGACTTGCTTCATTTTTCTAAATGCATACTCCAATAGCATGCGTTTAGAAGAGTGTGACTATACCTAAAAATTTTGTCAAGATTTATCAGTGTTGTCAAAGGACTATTGGAAGCAAAACTAATAATCAAAATTATTTTCGCGTGATTTTGTTTATTGTTTGAACTATATATACAAAAACCAAACTGGACAAGAAAAAGATGACTACAGTTACTTTAAATTTTCTTGTGCGTTTTTCGTCAGCATTTTATAATTATAGAATATACGTATATGTTTAAAAATCATGTGCTCAATAAATTAAATTAATTTTATTAAGTCGATATTTGGATTTCCAGTGTCAATTTTCGAAGGAATTTTATCAAAGATCATGTGGTTTCATGTTGAAAACTACGCCTACTGTGTAAAAAAAGTCAAAAATTACTATTGGCAAATTTTTTTGAAAACTCAAATTTATATCAACTAATTAATGAAACACTTGCAAGATCCTTCCCAAGATTGATATTCAGATGTTAACCTGGAGAGCTAGTGAAGAATTAAATTAATCAATAGCGTCATCAAAAATATTTAAAATAATGAAAAAAATATCAAACTAAATAACCTTCGGGCAATGTTTCTCCACAAGGGCCGATACTATAAATCATAAAACTTGGAGTAAATAGAGATGGAAAGAAAAACATAAATTAACAATAATTACAATTCAAAAGCAGCATCCTCGCCCATTTTTTCAATATTGAAATTTGCGACTATTCCGCCTTTCTCACGAATATATGATGCAAAGCCAGCCGCTGGGTAGACAGTTCCGGACTAGGATTTCATTAAAGATGAGAAAAAATTAACAATAATATTTTTTATACTACTGCGATATTGTGTGGAAATCGTACTTACAGTCCCAATAACCAACATCAAATCACATCTATCCAATTCTATCTGAATCTTCTCAAACACCATACTATCTAAAGATTCCTTAAACCATACAACATGCGGTCTCAATAAACCGGTACATAAACTACATCGCGGTAACTGATCAAGCGGGATATCAGCATCAAGACTCAAATCCTCGTTTCCTTGTAATGCTGGCACAATTGGTGAATCACGATTTGAACGAATATCACCACATGCGGTGCATCGCGTCTTGAATAACGTCCCATGCATCTCAATCAGATTATCGATGCCATTAACATCATCGCTAATACTGGTAGTCAAAAGTCCATCAACATTTTGCGTGATTACTGAAAAAGTCTGAGTTCGTGGTTTGGCAGAGTTTACTTTTTTCGAGAATTCGATGAGTGCTTTGTGCGCTCGATTTCGACTTTTTTTCATAACTAACTCACGCCTTTTCGATCGTGAAAGTAATGGTGAGAATAGGAAAAAAGCAAAAATAAAAAATCTTTTTTTTTTGTTACCTATAATGATAAAACTGCCATACTCGAGATGGATTTCTCTTGAAAGCCTTTGTTTAAAACGCGAGACATCAAAATTAACTAAATTTAATCTGTACAACAAATATAATAGGTTCTTACATTTGGATCAGCAAGTTCAATTGCAGAAAACTGTCTCCAAAGACCTATTAATATATCAAATTTTAACATATTATTCTTCCAACAAGCTTGAATTATGATTATTACCTCCTTCCCCTCTAAATGTCTAAGATAATTCATGCATCAATAATAATTTTTATTAAGTTTCTGTGCGGAATCATTCTCAAATACATATACGCACCGGTATCCCAGATTCAGCACTCAAACCTGCGCCACATAGTGCGACTATGTGCTTAGAAGAGTTTAAAACTTTGTGAAAACTGGTAGAAGACATAAAAAAAATACAGGAACAATTTCGATTTTCGCCAAATTGGTTAATCACATGTTCCGTTCCCCTTCTGCAATTATAATTTTATTGATTATTTATGAGATTATTTATGACATAGCAGATCTTTGAATGCAAAAAAGATTAATACTAATATAAAATTAATAATTGCTTCTAATAAAAATCATTTCAAATCAAATTTTAACTAATATATTATTTTAATTATTTTTTTTAAAAAAAAGATATTTTAAATATTATCATTATCAATTTGCAATATTAAAATTTTAAATTACACAAGCAGATCACTCTAATATTATCATGATATAAACTTTTAGTAGAATATTAATTAGTTATTTATTATTGGTCACTTCATATCACAATATGATTGAATAATTAATTACTTATATTGTATTGAATATTAGCTTTAGAGAATATTATTTATAAATATTTTTAGATAATTTTGCAAGCATAATAATTTGGCAAAATTATCATAACAAAGTTAGCAAAACTATCATAGCAAAACTAATAATACTATTATAACAAAGCCAATATTATAATATCAGTTAAAGTAATATTTAGATTATAGCAAAAGTAATATAAGTATTATAACAAAAGTATTATTTGTATAATCTTTAAAATATATAAAAGTAATATATCTTAGCTAGTAAAAAAGAATAGTTAAATAATTTGTAATTTATTATTTAATTTAGTTTGAGTTTTATAAGTTTAGTTTTTAATTTGTATTTAAAAGTAGATTATAGTTAAAGAAAATTCTAAGAAATATTTCTTGTAGAATAGATCTTGATTAAGATTTATTATCTCATCTTATTAATAAACTGATTATTATATTTGTCTTTAAAATATACTTTAGAATTAGATTATATTCTAGCTAATTATATTAAAAAATATTATTATTATCTATCTTTAAAAATTATCTTAAATAACTTCTAGTAAAAAAATATATTCTTATTAATATACTATAAAGAATTTTTTTATATCATAATTCTTAGTAAAAATATATATTTTTGATAGTTTAAGAATCATACTCATCTCAAGTTAATATTTACATCAAAAAAATAATAATATATGTTCTAAATTTCAAAAAAATAAATTAGTAATTATAAAGATATTAAGATTCAAAATTTAATAATAAATTATTTACTATATAATTTATATTAATTTCAATTAAATTTTATATAATAAAATTTAAAAAATAATAATTTAAAAAAGTTTATTATTAATAAAATTTTTTTTATAAAAAATATATAATAAAAATTTTTATTTTTAAATAATTTTAATATCTAATAACTTAATTAAATAAGACATAATTAAAATTTTATTTTAAAAAAATAATCTATTAATATTTATCTGATATATTAATCTTTTGTATCAGAATCATATTGAATTATAAAAATTTAAGATAAATTTACTAATAATTCTTTATTATTATATTTTTTTATTATTACTATCTTTAAATCTTGATACTTTATAATAAATTATACAAAATATATAATACAAAATAAAATTAAAATTAAATTAAATCTTGAACTATTCAAAACTAAATTATCTTGAAAATTAATTAAAAAAATTATTCTTCACTTACAAAATAAAAACTCTCTATAAATATAAATTATCATTATAAAAATATTTAAATATCTCAAAAATATAATATCTCAAAAAATAAATACATAAATTTATAAACTAAGATATAAATATATAAATATATAAATTAAAAATAAATACAGTGGCAATCAAAAATAATGTAACACTTAAATTTTTTACTAATTATAATTAGTAAAATACATATTTTTTCTTACATATAAAAGTTTTTAATTTTACTA